GTAAATAGACATGAGCCTTTCGCGAGAATTGATCACACAAAGACGATTAGCATACCAGTCCTGTTGTGTGACTTTATAATATGAAAGCTCGTCATGCAAATATCTAAGTGTCTCAGCTTGAACCCAATCCGTTGACAGAAAAGCTGGACCTACGTTTTTATCCATGAGCAGGATTTTAATGTCAGGATTGGAATTCAGCTCATGAAGGTCTTCTCGCTCTTGCTTTGAGAGATTGTTTCTCCAATGTGAATTTCAGCCACGAAGCTCTTTTGCAACTCTTCGCGAAGCGTGAAGAGTTTGTCCTCAAGATCTGGGTTTTCCCTCAATGGAATCTAGCCGGTTGGAACGTATAATTTGGAATTGAAATCGCTGTTTTGAGGTCGGTTGGCAAACTTATCTTGAAGGCGAACTCTTCGGCAAAAGTCTTGAATTTGCTGGTTGAACTGAGGAACTGTTGAAGGGCGCAAGGAAGGTCTGAACTTCAGACGAACGTTTTTTGACAGCGTTCGAGGTTTGCTAGAGCTCGACCTTGATCTTTGACATTGATTAGCTTTTCGGTGCTCGGGTCGACCTTGATTTGAGTTGCTGTCGCGCTTGGCATTGGGTTTACCACTGTGCTTGGCACCGGGTTTGTCATTTTGCTTTCCATGGAGTGGACGATAGAAACTTTGCGTAGTCGAATCGTGTCGACTCGGTTTACTGTGCTAGCGGAAAGATGGAGTTCACTTCGAACGATCTCTCTGATCGAGGTTTCCGAAGGCCCAAAACGCTCGTTAAACGTCCAAGACTTTGGAGGGCATGTAAACTCGAAAATCGCACATTTTCTTTCCACGTAACTGTTTAGTATATATTTCAAGCACGCAATCGGTTTTATTAGTTTTTTTTCTCAAAAGTCGATACAGACGATTCAAGCACTACCAGAAGTAAATTCTTCCGTAGTAAAAAGAAGACCCATACAGTCGGCCGACAGCGAGGACCTGAAAGTGGCTGCCGAACTGAGAAACGACCGAGGAGAAGTAGAGCTCTTCAAAAGTTAGAGGTTAACAGAGTAAATGCAGAATCGATTTACGTGGAAACCTCAAGAAAAATAAATAACTGAGGTTCTTTAAAACACTTTTGCTCCTCAGCTATTGAAAGACTATGGGGAATTCAGTTGTTCGGGAGCCAGCGATGAACCCACAAAAGACATTGACCTGTTTGAACCTTTGCCTGAAACCGAAGTACTCATTAGAGAAAGAGAATTTGTTGATATCGGTATACAATGTGATCTGGAATCTTATTGGTTCGATGTTTCCTTAAAATCTACGGCGAGTGTGGCTAAGACGATAACTTTTTAAAACAATTCTTAATACAGTTTCTGCGCTTTGAAACCTGTCCCCATTATTAAACGTGATGGCTTTCTTCATTACACAGACACACTAGTGAAAGTTGTTACAACTAAGGCCGAGGTCCAATGTGAGATCATCAACCTACCGTCTGTACCTACATGTTCTACGCCTCTGTGTAGTCCTGTTAAGAGTGTTGGTGATCGCGGCGACGATGATCAGAAAGACCTGGACTATATTCCAAAAACTTTATTTCTCCTTGACGACTTGCTGGTAGAAGAAGTAGAGGGGGAGGAAAAGAAACCAAACAACTTTGAAGAAAAACTTTCGAGGTAGAAAGAGGTTCTGTCTTTTTTTAATTTTGTCATAAGTTGTGGTCACTTTTGATTTTGTTATAGGACATCCTACAGTAAAAAAAGGTTCAGAGGGCCCACAAGGTGAAAGCAAGTTCACCGTCTTTTTTCTGCTTGATGCAACTTTTTGAGTTCTGTCCTCTGTGCACTGAGCCTTCTACATCTGAAGTATCTAATGTGGTAGGCACTCTCATCCTCGTCACCCAAAAGTGTCTAAGCTGCAGTTATGCGCGCGTGTGGAGAAGCAAACCATAGATTAAAAAGAAAATCTGGAAATCTGTTGCTATCCGCTGCTACTCTTTATTCTGGTAGTATGATCTCCCAAACCCTAAGAATGCTGAAAATTCTGAGGGTACAGTGTTTTCGCCACCAGACATATCATAAACATCAGAAGAACTTCCTCATACCTGTTGGCATAGAAATGTGGAAGGAGGAACAGGAGAAATTGGTAGAAAGATTTTCTAACTTAAGTGGTGGTGTTGTTCTTTCTGG